GCCTGTGCATTTCCAGGTCCTTTACACATTTTGCCCTGATAAACACCTCACGACCAACTCTCTCAGCACATGGAGAGAAAAGCAAATGTATGTCTCAGTCAGCTGTGTAGGCTTAGCAGGGCTAACACATGTGACAAGTCACTTTGCACTGTGAACAGTGATTCTTTGCAACAGGAGACATCACTTTCCAAGGTCATGCCTTACAGTTTCTTCCTCTTCAAAGTTCTCCACTAAATTCTTCCTTGTCCTTCACCACTCTGACAACTCCTGTCCAACATCCACCTCTGGTACCAACCTGCCTGTGCTATCTCCAGGCTGAGTATCTCAAGACACCTCAGAGAAAGGGTTTCCTAGGAAAGCACTAGGCTGTCCTACAACTGTCCTACAGCTGTATCTGCAGGTCTGGTTTGCTCCTTCCTAAAGCTTCTGCAGTTATCTCCTCCACTTCGACAGCAAGTCAGCCCCAGGTTCAAATCTTCTTCCAAGTATCTATTTTCTTCTGCTTTTATCTTCCTTCCCCAAACACAAAGCATTTGTTTTCCCCTTGTTTAGGCTGATTTTGCAGTTCATGAATCAAATGATTAGTCTCACCTTTTGCCATGAAAAGGAGTAGATACTCTAAATGAATCATGCTTAGCTAATGCAGATATCTTTGCTCTGAATAATGTCAGGTTAAAAACATTCACTAGAGATATGAAAGGCTTATTAAACCCAAATCCAAGCTACACAAAGGAATCTGAAATGGTACATCCATTCAACATCACAAGAGTTAAAGAGTATTGTCTGCCTCACTCTGTTGCAACTAATGATTAATAAATGAGTCTATTAAGTTAATCTGCCAGACAAAACTAAGCTTGACAGACACCTGCCACAGAAAATTTGTTATCTATTCAGGCAGGAAATGGCAGTGAGAAGAAATCAATGTCACTGCTGTACATTGAGCTGACAAACTGAAATCTCAGAGGAAGTTTGTCATCTTGGACAATGAGCAATATCCCTGGTGGCATCTCAGAGCCCCACAATAAAGGTCAGACATGGCTCTTATTTATCATGGTCTTGAAATTCAGAGCCCCTTAATAAAGGTCAGACACGGCTCTTATTTATCATGGTCTTGAAATTCTAGTGTAGCAATTAAATTTCATTTTTAATACTGGGTGAAAAAGTCCAGTTATTTGACAGTAATGTGTGGTAATACATTTAAGAGAAGGCATATATATCCACATGCTGTGTATCACTGTTGGAGTGCTATGGCATGATTTCTTTGCAATTTAAATTAATAAAGGTCAGACACGGCTCTTATTTATCATGGTCTTGAAATTCTAGTGTAGCAATTAAATTTCATTTTTAATACTGGGTGAAAAAGTCCAGTTATTTGACAGTAATGTGTGGTAATACATTTAAGAGAAGGCATATATATCCACATGCTGTGTATCACTGTTGGAGTGCTATGGCATGATTTCTTTGCAATTTAAAATAAAAAGCAGCATAACCTTCTATTATCTAGGCCAAAAAAGATGGGGAGGAAGAAACAATAACCAATACATTTGCTTCAAATCTGTTAAAAGAGAGAAAAGGGAATGCTCTGTATCCAGCTGTACACCAAACAAAACAGCTTTCAAACAGTCTCCAAGTTTTGCTTCTTTATGCTGGCAAATGAGTGGTAAAATTATTCAGCTGTTAATAAGACAACAAGGGAAGCTTTTGACATAACCTCCTTTTTATCTCCTAGCTAGAAGCATTTCAATCAAAGAGGAAATTTGTTTGATTTTCAGTATTAGTGGTGTTTGTTTTCCATGTCCTGCTCAGCAGGGACCAGAGCTGGATGGGGATTATCAGCTTCCCTTTTCCCCGCACACCCCACGAGATGTGGTGATGTGAACCTTCCAAAATGCCTGGGAAGATTTTGGGTATATGTCAGTGGGACCTGCACAGCCACTGGGCTCCCTCCTCCCTCTCCAGGGTGGCTGCAGGATAAGGGGCTAAACATTCATAAATCACACTAACAGAGTTTGAAAACTTGCAAAAGCCAAACAAACTGGGAAGCAACACCACCAACCACCAGAGCAGCAGCACCTTTGCTGCACTAAGAACATCCTAATGAGATGTCCTCCAGTTATCGGAGTTGCCCACTGGAGCCTCTTTAACAACATCTTGACTTAAAAACAAACCCCACACAAGCAATTTCATGGGTACTGGAATGAAAGGGAGTGTGGCTTCCTGCAGATTTGGGTTTTGTCATCAGATTCTCTGAAGACAAATCATTTCCAAGCCGCGTTCGGCAATCTTCCCATGACAAGGACTTCCATCACAATTCTGCTCAAGACCTAATCCACAGCCCTCGTTAGAAGTTCAGTTCCTATTGCAAGCCTTCCCTCAAACCCCTTAACCACCTCTATTCTCCCCTCATACACATATTTTCAAGAAACTTCAAGGAGCTTCAATTTATCTTTGCAGCCTCTGCCCTTCGGCCACGTTTCTGAGGTGGAGATGCGAAGGGCTGCAGAGGCTGCTGTGTGTCCATGTGTGCATACACCCTGCTTGCATAAGCCCTGTTTCCCTAAGAGACCAGACTAAACAGCCCACACCCAAAAGGAGGATTAATATATGCAAAAAGAAATTTCTCTGCAAAGAGAGCTCATCCATGGAAAAGCCTTCAGATGGTTTATTGCCCTTCATTGCTCTCCCATGACAGCTGGGACAAAATCTCTCGGTCTGAGGATACTTCTCAATTTGAACACTTACAGCATTTCATTCCTACTTGGATTTTGCTTCTTAAAAGCAAAGCTCCTCAGCAATGAACAGAATCACACCCTGCTAGGCAGTGATATTTCTGCCTGAAATAGGCTAAGGCAACAATAAAAAATGTGGTCCACATATGTGGGTAACTGGCTGCCAGCAAATATGAAACCCTGGCAAGCTCCACCAACCTCTCATTCGACATGAATATAAAATAGACAGAGAGTACCAGTTCTCATGTCTGGCTTAATGTTATATAACTGTGCTGTTTGTTCAACAGAGTCAACCCTTACACACACAAAAAAAAGTCAAGTTTAAAGCCCTCAGACAGCTGCAAATCATTATTCTAAAATGTTTTATAGGTTAGTGAAATTATCATTTGCTTTGGTCCCTGTAGCCCTTAGCACCTGATGCCTAACTTAAGGTAATGAACTTTGCAGATTCTTATTTCTACAGATCTACTTAATTCCCTTGATACAGAAGGATTTTAAAAGATTATTTTTAATAAGTTACTTTTAGAAATGCCTTCATTTTACTGCCAGAGCAACAGATCCACACATCTTGCTCCTAAAGACAAACACCAACCTGCAAGTACTGGAGATTGATGACAGAGCAAAAGTCCTCCCACCAAGGACTGTTTAATTAAATAAAAGAAATTTAAGGAGGAACTTGATAATACTCTTTGCAACTGCAACACAAACATTTTAAAGTACGTCAAAATTCACCTATCTGATATCTGATGCTAAATTGCAAGCTGACATTGTCCTGAGGAAACCAGCAGCCAGGGAACAAGGGCAGAATGCTGAAGGAGTGGCAAAGAAGGGGGAGAAGAAGCAAAAGAAAAAACCCAAGACCTCATCAGCCCCTTCAGAACTGGGATTCCCTTCCAAATATGAGAATTCTTTCACACAAAGAGGAAACAGATGTCCATGGCTGGAATTTGCATGTGGCTTTATTCTCTTCTAGGATACAATAAAACTACTCTTCTTCTCATCCTCCAAGCTAGAAATTAAACAGTGGCATGTCATGCAGAGTCCAGCTGTGCTTTCTACCTCCAACCTTTATTAGCAATATATTTAAAAAGAAGAAGAAAAGAGAGAGAGAAAGAAAGGGGAAAACTAAAATAGCCTAAGAAATGAAAAACTGTGGTATGTGTTCTCAAAACAATATAAAACCTACAGATGTTCTTACTAATCTGTGGCACATGTTTGTTTATTCAGGTTTTCCCTGGTCAGCAGGCGTTGCTCTCCAAAAGACTTATCTGTTTTTACAAATGTTAGAGTAAATACTGAGGGAGAGATTGGCATAAATGGCCAGAGGAACAGGCTCACCTCGTGAGAGCTTTCTCAATGTCCCTGCAACTGCACCTCCATCCCACAAACTGTCCTCACCTCTGTCTCCACTGTTGCCTACATTAAGAGAGATGGGAGAAGAGCAAACAGTTATGAAGGTGATTTTGATAGTATGAATATCACAAAGGCCAACAGCAAGAACATCTGCTCACTTCAGGGAGAACATACTGCAGTGATCCTGGCACAGCTTTCAAAGTTGGACCTAACTTGTCACCTGCACTCACTGTGACAAGGACAGAGATGCTATCACCACTGAACCTGTATTTATG